TTTTAGATCTTTCCTCGCTTCTCATATGGGCATTTAATGCTATAAATTTCCCTCTAGACACTGCTTTAAATGTGTCCCAGAGATTCTGGAATGTTGTGTCTTCTTTCTCAATGGTTTCAAAGAACATCTTTATTTCTGCCTTCATTTCATTGTTTATCCATTTGACATTCAGGAGCCAGTTGTTCAGTTTCCATGAAGCTGTGTGGTTCTGAGTTAGTTTCTTAATTCTGAGTTCTTATTTGATTGCCCTGTGGTCTGAGAGACTGTTTGTTGTGATTTCTGTTCTTTTGCCTTTGCTGAGGAGTGATTTACTTCCCATTATGTAGTCAATTTTAGATTAGGTGCAGTGAGGTGCTGAGAAGAATGTATATTCTGTGGATTTGGGGTGGAGATTTCTGTAGATGTATATTAGGTCTGCTTGGTCCAGATCTGAGTTCAAGTCCTGGATATCCTTGTTAATTTTTTGTCTTATTGATCTAATATTGACTGTGGAGGGTTAAAGTCTCCGAATATTATTGCATGGGAGTCTAAGTCTCTTTGGAGGTCGTTACGAACTTGCTTTACGTACCTGGGTGCTCCGCTATTGGGTGAGTATACATTTAGGATCATTAGCTCTTCTTGTTGCATTGATACTTTTACCATTATGTAATGCCCTTCTTTGTCTCTTTTGATCTTTGTTGGTTTAAAGTCCATTTTATCAGAGACTAGGATTGCAACTGCTGCTTTTTTTGCTCTCCATTTGCTTGATACATCTTCCTCCATCCCTTTATTTTGAGCCTTTGTGTATCCTTGCATGTGAGATGGGTTTCCTGGATACAGCACACTGATGGGTTTTGGCTTTTTATCCAATTTGCCATTTACATTTAAGGTTAATATTGTTATGTGTGAATTTGATCCTGCCATTTTGATGCTAGCTGGATGTTTTGCCTGTTAGTCAATGGATTTTTTTCATTGTGTCGATTGTCTTTACCATTTGGTACATATTTCCTGGACTTGAATGGTGGTCTGGTTTGCTAGGTTGGGGAAGTTCTCCTGGATCATATCCTGAAAAGTGTTTTCCAGCCTGGATTCATTCTCTCCATCACATTCAGGTACGCCTATCAAACCTAGATTAGGTCTTTTCACATAATCCAATGTTTATTGGAGGCTTTGTTCATTTTTTTCACTCTTTTTTCTCTATTCTTGCCTTCTCATTTTAGTTCATTGAGTTGATCTTCAATCTCTGATATCCTTTCTTCTGCTTGGTTGATTCAGCTATTGAAACGTGGATGCTTCACAAAGTTCTCATGTTGTGTTTTTCAGCTCCATCAAGTCATTTATATTCTTCTCTAAGCTATTTATTCTAGTTAGTATCTCTTCTAACCTTTTTTCTAGATACTTAGTTTCTTTGCATTGGGTTAGTACATGTTCTTTTAGCTCTGAGAAGTTTGTTATTACCCACCTTCTGAAGCCTGTTTCTGTCAATTCATCAGATTCATTCTCCATCCATTTTTGATCCCTAGCTGGTGAGGAGTTGTGATCCCTTGGAGGAGGAGAGGCGTTCTGGTTTTTGTTGTTTTCATCCTTTTTGTACTGGTTTCTTCCCATCTTAGTGGCTTTATCTACCCGTGGTCTTTGTAGTTGGTGACTTGCGGATGGGTTCTCTGAGTGGACGTCCTTTTTGTTGATGTTGAAGCTATTTATTTCTGCTTCTTAGTTTTCCTTTTAACAGTCAGGCCCCTCTGCTGCAGGACTTCTGGAGGTCCACTCCAGACCCTGCTCACCTGGGGATCACCCTCGGGGGCTGCAGAACAGCAAGGGTTGCCGCCAGTTTGTTCCTTTGCTATCCTCGTTCATGGAGGGTACCCGCCAGATGTGAGCCTGAGCTCTCCTTTATGAGGTGTCACTTTGGGTATACAGGGATCATGGAGTTGCTTGAGGATGCAGTTTGTCCCTTATAGGAACTCAAGTGCTGTGCTGGGAGCTCTGTTGTTCCATGCAGACCTGCTGGGCAGGTACTTTTAAGTCTGAGAACTCCCAACTGCCTCTTTTCCCAGGTGCTCTGTCCTAGGAAGGTCAGCTTTATTTATAAGTTCCTGTCGTGCTGCTGCCTTTTTTAATAGATGCCCTGCCCTGCACAGAGTAGTCTAGTCACCATCTGCCAGCAGAGGCATTGCTGAGCTGCTGCAGGCTCTGCCTAGCTGCTCTGTGAACTGCCTCAGTAGTGGCGGACTGCCTCAGTAGTGGTGGTCACCTTTTCCCCCACTGAGCTGAACCATCCTGGGTGCTGCTGTGCTTGCTTGGAAACTCTCAATCCAGAGCGTTTCAGATTGCCTGTTTTGTTGGGGTGGTACCTGCTGAGCCAGATTGCCTGGCTCCCCTGTCTCTGCCCCTTCCCTTTTAGTTGAATGGGCAGCTCTGCCTCCCAGGCATTCCAGGAGACAGTTAAAATGGCCACCCAGATTTGTGTGGGTTTCTGTGTGCCAACGCAGCACCGGCTGAAACCACCATGCTGAAAACTCGTGTTGCTTTTTGGCTGGGCAATCTCCTGGTCTGTGGGCAGTGAAAATTTCTTTGGAAATGTGGTGGGCCCTCATCCTCTATGTTGTTCTTGGTGGGAACTGCACACCGGAGCTGTTTCTATTTGGCCATCTTGGATCCTCCCCTCCAAAGAGTATTCTTAATGCTGACTGTGTTTTCTTTATACTTCCTGAGATGATAAAATGCCTTTTCTTTTTATGAAGTGATTATTTTGATGATGGTAGGGTAGGATAGTCTCATTGTTTTTTTGTTTGCCTTCCTGTCCATATGTGGAAAAATAAAAATTGTGAAATCATTATCTGCCACTCATGTTATTTTGAAATTTTGTCTATTGAATCCCCATATTTAGAAACTACTGTTTTAGAAGTATGATTCAGCTTTAGAACCATCTAGTAAGAATTTGTGTGGTATCTATAAGGAAATTTTAGCCTTCATCTTGTGTGTAGCCTCTGTGGTAGCAAGAGAACAGTGAGAACACAATAACTTTTAGATACACATTAATTCTTACAAATCACAACTTATTCATTGTTTTCTGTGTTTTACTTATTGTTTTACATTTCAAGTGGAAAGTTTTGAAATCTGTTTTGTGTTTTTGAAAAAACGAATTTCTTCTTTCCATGCGTGACTTCTCTGATACCTTCAGTGTTACTGAAGGGCAAAGAGTTCAGAAAACTTCTAATATTAAAATAATTGAATGAGTCTGGGTAAGATCCATTTGATGAATCTAGACTTGGAAGTCTTACTTGGTAGAGTGAATCTCAAAATAAAAATTCTATTTATGTGGGTTCCCTGTTAATGATGATTATGTTTTTTCCCCCTAGAGGGCAGACCTGATGCCTTTTCTGTCACACAGCTGATAGAGACGGTTAATGAAGTTTCCAGGCTGAGCATTGCACATGAAATCATAGTAAATGAAGATTTCTATGTGGAAGAGACAATTTTACCTCCAAACAGGTACAGATTATTCAGGTTTTTTTTTTTTTTCCATTTTACTCTTCCTGGAGTAGGTACATAGCACAAATGACTTTTGGTCAGGTTTGAAGCATCTTATTAATAAATTTAATGGTTGGGTATGTCTTATATAGTACCAACAAATCAGTGTAGTTATTAGTTTAAAAAGGTCAAAGCAGCAAATTATATTTAAACAGGTAATAAACCAATGCAGTTGTAGGTTGAACATCCCAAATTTGAAATCCATGCTACTCCAAAATCCAAAATATTTCAAGGCCAACATGATGCTCAAAGAAAATGCTCATTGCAGTATACTGTAAGTATACTGCAAATATCTCAAAATCCAAACAAAATCTGTAATCTGGCTAGGCTGATGCCTGTAAATTCCAACACTTTGGGATTCCAAGTCAGGCCGATTGCCTGAGCCCAGGAAGTCAAGACCAGCCTGGGCAACATGGCAAAACCCTGTCTAAAGAAAAAATACAAAAATTAGCCAGGCAAGGTTGTGCACTCCTGTAGTCCCAGCTATACAGGAGGCTGAGGTGGGAGGATCCCTTGATCCCAGGAAGCAAAGGCTGCAGTGAGCTGAGATCACGATCATGCCACTGCATTCCAGTCTGGGTGACAGAGTGAGACTCTGTCTCAAAAAAAAAAAAAAAAAAATCCATAATCCAAAATGCTCCTGGTCCCAAGCATCTTGGAAAATGGATATTCATTCTGTATTCTTAAAGTGTTCATTTCAGGATCTCAGTTAATTATGAAACATAGAGTGATTTTCAGATCTTTTCAGATAGACTTGGAAGAATTAACTCCTAGCTGTTCATCTTTTAATATTCTACAGATTAAACAGGCACAGATGAGCAGGTTTTCTAATAGTGGTTTTATTCACTCTTCACGGGATAGGAAATTTCGGGGGTCATTTCTGCTTCATAATCAGTGTAATAAAGATTCTGCGAATCAATATTAGAACCCCGTCAATAAATAGTGTGTTTCTACAATTATGCTTTATATTAGTTTCTCTTAATTGTATTGATATTGCAACATATGTTTAAGAATCATTCAGTATTTATGAATTGAATGCTTCTAGTGGTTTATTGAGAGTTAAATGGGTTGATTTCTTTCTCATAATCTGTATTTTATGGTATTTCTAATTTTCCACTTTAAAAGCTTCTGTTATTTTTGCCACTTTTGGGATTCTGTTACGTAAAGCACCTTGTTTTGTCAATGGTTCTCTTGATCTTCATACTCCTTAGATTTGCCTTTGCCTGTTGCCAAGGATAGCTTATCTGAAGGAAGTTTTTACCAAAACACAGGTCTTGCAGCATCTTCCTCATTGCTTTTATAGTCTCTGGGGCCTGAGTTAGATTCAATTTTCTGCTGATGGGGTGCAGAAAAAACTGAAACTAAGAGAATGAAGGTCTGTTAAAGTGGCTAGGGATCTCAGGGAGTGGGTAGATGAAGCAGGAGGAATAATATTATTTAGGACTTGAATTTCACTTTTCTTTTTTAAAAATTAACAGGCTTTTTAAAATATAGTAATTCAAAGTGTATACTGGATAAGAGGTTGAAATAGAGTTTGGGGTTATCCATTGTCTACAGATAATTGACAATTAGTTTTCCCTTTGGGCTTATAAAATTATACTAATCACAGTTACTGGTTTTTAGGGGAAATCTCTCATCAGACGTTTACTCAACAAACTTTTATTGAGTACTTATTAGGTGGAAGGCAGAATGTTGAAAGTTAAAGACATAAAGTTAAGTTAGTTACTGTATTTGCCATCAAAAAGCTTCTGTAGGGAAGATAGTCAAATAACTATTGGACAGGGTGACAGGTCATCTCATATCTAGCGTGTGGAGCTCTATGTAGTGCTCAACTTCCTGGGGAAGGTCGGTGAAGACTTTCCTGATAAGGTAGTACCTGAGTTGAGTCTTTTCAGGTGGTTTAGGAGAGAAGGGACGCTCCTGGAAGAGGAAATGTCATTTCAGAGGCATAGAGGGATGGAAGGCAATTATATATTCATTTTAAGTGGATTGTTATTGTTAGAGCACAAGGAATAGGAGGAGAAAGGGAGTTAAGGTAGGAGAAGTGGCAGAATAGGACCGTGAAAGGCCATGTACACTGCTGGTGATAGGCAACTTCTGAAAAATTTAAAATGACTATGCTATTATGATCAGATTTGTATCTTGAAAAACTAATTGTTTTCTGCTGGAGCTTTTAAATAATCGCTTCCTCCTCTTCTATACCCCTAAACGCACACTTCTCTGACCTTCACATTCCAGAAAATAAAGCCTTAACAGTTTTGTAGGCCTTTGTCCCAGATTAGAACCCGGAGAAGGGGTGGGGAGCACCAGGCTAGGAAGTCTGGAAAATAGGTAGGAAGTGGCATTCAAAAAATTTTTCACTTCAATTACTTTCCTCTTTGTTTATTTGGGAAGGTGGTTCCTTTTGTTTTACAACAGCATGCATTCATTTTGTTGTTTTTATTACTAAACAATACAATTATTTTCAGTTGAAAAAACAGGATTCGAGTTGTAAAAACATGACAATCTGTTTCGACTGCTGAATCATATTATAAATATAGACCTTCCAGAAAGCACTCCCCTACCTCCTTTAAGGACTTTGACATATAAGGGTGGTTTCTCTTGTGAAGGATCTCTATCTGCACGTCTTTCCATGAAGTGATGCACTGAGTCTAATAGAGCCTTGCTGGTGGACTTTCATATCTTGAGAACCTGTGACAAGCTGACGATCTCTTCTAAATTGTATTAGTGTAACTTCACCTTACAATAACACCTAGCCCTGACAATTCAGGACAATAATTTGGGGAAGCCACCCTAACAGATGAAAATGTATTATGATGGACACATAGAGGGGAAAAAGAAACACTGGTGCCTACAGGAAGGTGGAGGGTGGGAGGAGGGAGAGGACCAGTTTACCTGTGTAACAAAACTGCACATGTACTCCTGAACTTAAAAGTTAAAAAATGTATTGTGAAATTACAATGTTAAAATAATATTGTACTGGAATAAATAAGAAAAAAATAAAGAAAGCCGCTTATCAAACCCAAATATGGAAAAATGCTATTAAATCGATTGAAATATTTTGAATCAGTGGGGAAAGGTTAGATTGAAGAAATTGTGCTAGGATAATTTGTTATTTTGAAAAACAATGAAGTGCCTTATTATTCTCATACACTTAAAAATAAACACTAGATATTTGCACAAAAAGACATAAAACCATTAAAAATAGAACTTAGCATGTCATTTTGTATATAATCTTAGTATGGAAAAGTATTTTAAAGTACAGCACCAGATACTGACAAGACCAAAAGGCAATTGGCTCAATTCTGCTGGGACCCTCCCCGTCTCAGAAACAATTTAGAGTGCTCCTCAGAATTATACTAACTAGTGAAGAGAAATTGGGATATTTTTCTACAGACTTGGCTCCTTTATTGGCAGATGTTACCCTGAGGATGTTAAAATCGGTGGCACTTCTAGGTTGTCCTACACCTGGGCTGAGCAAGTTCCCAAGGTACCAGAAAAAGCGCTCAGCAAAATTAGAAAACACAGGTACAGTAGAAGGATGATATCAGTTTTATCTCCACTCCAAGAAATATACTATTCACATTTTACTCTAAATCAGTCAAAATATCTCCCTTCAAAAGCGAAGATAATACACACATACTCATTTTCTTTTTTTATTGTTATACTCTAAGTTCTGGGATACATGTGCAGCAGGTGCAGGTTTGTAACATAAGTATACATGTGGTAACATTGTAAGAGTAAATTAACAAAGCCTAACTACCTGGTATGTAGCTTTTGATGTGGTAAATGTATTCTTTTGCATTTACTTGTAAAGGGGATCAGAACATTTACTTTCACATGGAAGAGATAACATACCCATTTCTAGTTTTGCTTCAGGGCAAACAAAATACACACTCCCACAGGGCATCACATTGACCCATTATATCCATGATATGCTGCTTGGACAGGAAGAGAAAAATGTGGTTATTACACTAGAGGCCTTTGTAAGACACATGGGCTCTGGAGGGTGGAAGATATGCCCATTACTTTACAGAAATTTTAATAGGTTCAATGGTTGTAAGAATGCCAGGATATCTCCTCCAGAGTAAAAGAAAAGTTACTGCATCTTGCATCACCTCCCACAAAGAAGGAAGTACAGCACTTGGGAGGCCTCCTTGGGTGTTTGAAGCAACACATTTTATACCCTCTAAGTTATAAAGTAAGATGAATCCAGCAGTAGCCCATTATACGATGGAAACAGAATATCCTTGATTAAGTCCAAGGAAAACCAGAGGACATAGATTAGGTATATGAGCAGATAGCCCAGATCCCCATGCTACCCACCACAGTTGCACCAGTGCATCTCCTTTGGTTTTAACCATATGAAAGTATGCATCAAAAAGTGGGCAAAGGATATGAACAGACACTTTTCAAAAGGGGACATTTATGCAGCCAACAAACATATGAAAAAATGCTCATCATCACTGGTCATTAGAGAAACGCAAATCAAAACCACATTGAGATACCACCTCACACCAGTTAGCATGTGATCATTAAAATATCTGGAGACAACAGATTCTGGAGAGGATGTGGAGAAATATGAACACTTTTACACTGTTGATGTGAGTGTAAATTAATTCCACCGTTGTGGAAGACAGTGTGGCAATTCCTCAAGCATCTAGAAATAGAAATACTATTTGACCCAGTAATCTCATTACTGGGTCTATACCCAAAGGATTATAAATCATTCTGTTATAAAGATGAATGCACATGTATGTTTATTGCAGCACTGCTCACAATAGCAAAGACTTGGAACCAACCCAAATGCCCATCAATGATAGACTGGATAAAGAAAATGTGGCACATATACACCATGGAATACTATGCAGCCATAAAAAAGGATGAGTTCATGTGCTTTGCAGGGACATGGTTGAAGCTGGAAATCATCATTCTCAGCAAACTGACACAAGAACAGAAAA